TTACTTTTATCTAAAAGGCTCTAGAGGCGCAATGTGCTTTCTTCCCTGCAAATGCCTACCTTTAAATAATCTTAAACGCTTTCACAAAGTTTAGGTTTATTTACTCTCATTATCAGGGCTTTAATTACGTTGTATTTAAAATGTTTGCTATAATAGTTTACCTCAAACGTGGCTTTAATAGTCGTAATACTCGCTAATTCAATTTATATCGGTATGAACCATTATGGTAATTAGTCAACCTCAGATTCTTTATAAATGTTTTTGATAGTATTCAAAACCATATTTTCGGGAATAAAGATTGACTTGAATATTTAAGTTTTCAGTCGATACTCGAGCTTTGACCACTCTCTCATTTTTTTGTGTAATGTAATCATTGTAGATTGGGTGTTTTTCTATTGTTATGGCCCTGAGGAATGAAGGTTTGATTAGCTAAGATTAATTAAGGAGAATGCCTGACTTTTTATAAAAGCTTATTTACGGCTTGTAGGATTTTACTTGCTCATCAGTCGCAAGTTTATACTTCTAAATGCTGTATCCTCTACGTGATCTATCTTATGGTTGATTCTATGAGTAACTGGATTGTATATTTCATTGTACGATTTGTCATCTTCTTTGATTCGCTATTTGAAGTACTTAGCTTATGCTGGCTGAAGCGCAGCAGCCAACATTTGTGATTTATTTATCACAGAATAAACTGAGTCGTAAATAAATTAGAGTAAAATAACTCAAAATATTATCTATTTGTGGCCAATAAATACAACTGCTGTAACATCAAAATTAATATTTCACAAACGGCTATACCATTCACATTTTTACTTCGATCAGGAGGATGGCGAAAAACTAAAGCAGCGTCTTCCTGCTCGGAAGGCTGAGTTAGAATTAATCGTCCAAAACGCAGGCAACCGTCTGGCCAAACTGAAACCACTCATGTCCCGTCGGACGGATCTTCTTACGAGGCAAGTAGAAGCCGCGCGCCACCTTCTCGATCTACGGTTGGCCATTGCATGGACACGTGAACGCCTCGCCCAGCTGCGTCAAGTCGCCTCACCTCAGGCAGACACCGGTCGTCCTGGAGTCATGCGTGAGGCGGATGGAGTTGCGGAGTCCATCGACATGGGAGGCCTGGGCCGAGTGGGCCGGTTGGCTGTAGGCGGCTCCAAGGCAGGAGCCAGGCTGATGGGGGTGCAGCAACAGCGACGAGCCCTGAAAAGCTATGAATTGGAGGTGGAGAACAGAAGCCCCAGAATTCGGCATCTTTGTGAGGTAAGCTGCCGTGGCTAGAGCAAGAAGAAGGTAGAAAATCGACGTCTGGGACAGTCCGCTGAAATAGGAGCCGAGTTTTGATGCAAAGTTGGCAAAGGAAGATAAAATTTATTCTTAAAAGTGTTCTAATCTCATTTTCGCAATTCGATCCTGTCGTTAAGGCAACCTCGAACGAGCTTCCTCATTCCATGTCCATTCTCATAGTAGGTATGCTAATCTCCTGTATCAGAATGTGAACTTTGTACGTATCGAAACAAACCACAAGGTGTGAACGACAAGTGAAACCCATCCCTTTACCAACTTTCTGTTAAACGATTGTGGTATCTCTTCTGTCCTGCTATAGCCGTCTCTCTGACTCTCTCTTTATCATAACTTCCAGATATACGTTCTTTTTTATTTTTATACGGCCTATTTACGCATTCCGCTGGTCCCCTCAACTGTCCGTGGCTGGAAATTATAATGACTACAATAGCAAGTGACGCCGAACAAGGCGTATTCATTGCTATTTTCCTGGCAGCATGACTTAGTTGAGAAATCGAGATAAACCCAATTAGATTCAGGCCACACTAGATCTACATTTATTTATAGTTTGAATTATTATAACAAATTGTAGCTAGCATATAGTTAAGAGAGAAAAATGAGAAGAGCAGGAAAATTGATGAGTTCATGGTAAAAATGTATCAGATATTGAGAGAATAAGCGCAGAATTTTGCGACTTCAGTTTACTTTGCTGATTAACAAAAGGGATATGCTAAATAATCCTTTGTATCACCTAAACCAGACCAAACTATATACACATATTTGGCATAAGATTGGCATATTTCAAAGTATCTTAGCTGGACCTTGGCCGATGGACAATCTTCAGAATATTTTATTTAATATATTACCATCCCTAGATATATTTTCTTAAGCCCAAGGTTTCTTTCTTAGTTTAAGTTACTCTATACTAATTGTAACAGAGGAGTAAGACGTAGTAGCTGAATGGCTTCAACAACCGTTGCCAACATTTCAATGCTGTAGGCCATTTACGGACATTTTATATCGGATGGAAGATTGATTTTCGAGGAATCCTCTCATATAAAATTGTTAGGCTCTCTTGATGTTCAAATGAAAGTGTAGGATAAAGAGTCTGGATGGTCGATCTTACTATAAAACAATAGCAGATTCCTTTATGGTCGGCTGTCGTTCGGCTTTATTGGAAAATTCCGGTTGACACTGTCCTCGAGATAACCTCCATTCGGTTCCGGAGAAATTAATATATTTATGGTAAATATATGCAGCATAACGGTATAATTCGCCGAGTCTTTTTATCTCGTGTACTTGAATTTGTAACAAAAATGATATTCCGCTCTAGATTTTTCTGTTAAATGATACGGCAGACGTTTTTATCGGAGTTAATAGGGATTGTGCTGAGGACAGCGTCAATAGCAATATTCCAGTAAAACTTAATTACGGCAGTACAGAAAGATTTCTCGATCATCCTCAAGACTCTTTATGCATACTTTCATTCAAAATGGAAGGGAGTTAAATAATTTCCTATTTGTGGTTGCATTTTTAGCCACCTCTTATATAAAAGATGTGGAAGGTTCAAGAGCTCCTTCCGAAAACCGTGGCAGAATTAAGAGCTCTTTTATAAATATGATAAAGAACTCGTGATGAGCAGCCATTAAAGTGACTTGCGAGTCTAACTATACAAATAACTAAATTCTTCAAGATTCTTCTCTCATCATTCGAGAGATAGCTCTATACGAAAATGCTCGCTTCAATGACTAAGATTTAAATCTCCTTATAGAACAGGGTGGTAAACAATGTTTATTATTGCATGTTTTCCCCTTTATATCGAGCTCTGACTACAGTTCATGAAAGATTTTCATGTCAAAAGTTAGTACTGAAGCGTAAAGAACCTAATAGATGTTCCAAACACCTGAGGTAGTCAAGATCACATCTGGCCTTTGCTTGGTTTTAATCTCTTGTTTATTGTTATTTTTTCACTTCTTTACCCTAACTGTATGTGTATGAATCCGAGCAAATTGCTCCTGAAACTGAATACTACTTGTTGTTCTTTAGATCAGTCACCACATGGGTACCTTGGCAAAATGTGTTCAGGGGACATAATATTCAGCTTTGGCCAAGCTGTTGCGCTAATTTATTGTGCGTTGGTTACCAATTGGGCTAGTAGGCGACTTGAAAGCCGAATTAGACAGAGACCTCGTAAAACTATAGGACAGAGTTCCTGTAGCCCATGTATCCAATCCATTTTGCAAGAATTCAAACGCGCAACCGTAATTTTCATGAATTTCTTGCTCTCGTAGAGGAAGTTTTTTCAACTCCAAACAGAGGGCCTTAGAGTGCGCCGAGCTAACTTTTCCTCCAGATTCACTTCCTCTACCTCAGACAAATTCTGTACGTGGGTAAGAGCCGTCTTTCCACTTCCATGCATGAGTTTGCCATAAATAGGCGAGGATAAATCGGCAAATAAACTGTGCCAAAATGCCTCAATTCATCCGATGATCTTATATATCATTTGGGTAATATGGAGTGAAGCTTTTGGAAGTTTGTCCAGAAAATGGTCAAACCTCGTTTTCGCAACCTTTTTGAGTTGTGAGAGACCTGGATGAATGCCAAGTTCACATACCAATACTCTAAATTAGAATGACCATTGTGTTTGAGGACTCCGGACATGTATTCTTCGAGTTCCCTTTAACAAAACGACCAACTTTCGAAAATGATGTTGAACCCCTTTTATACAGACTGCGAGCAGACTAGAGACAACACCATTCTTTTTCCAAGAAATCTGTAGAAGATTTGGAAGGATTTCTTAAGTGTCCAAGTTTTATCGTACTTGGTTATCGCCTATTTCAGTTGTGTTCGGATCTAGTGTTTGATATATCCTTTTCTAGTTCCTTAATTTAATTTAATCTACTTTTTTATCAATTATGGTAGTACTAGTATTTGTGGTTTCGTATTTTATTATTAGTAGGTTATGTCATTTTGTCATTTTACTTTATTTTATTCCCTAATATTATTTACCTTATCGTCAGGAGCTTGTTATAATTGTGAAAGAGTGACTCGGATATATGTTCGAGGCATCCTAGTCATTGTCCTTCGTCCCTTAATTGCCAAACATTTTCGCCTCTTCCTGGCTAACAAGAGAGGGGGCTTCCTGAGGCAGCAAGTTGTTCACTTGCTTACTTCCGTTCTCATCAAAACGAGTCATCTCACCCCAGAAGTTCTCAGTCAAACCGAACTTGGTGACCCAGTCACTTTTCCTCCTCACGGCGTAATTGGCTTTCTTATTCTTGTCCTCTAGTAGATCAAATTGTGCATCAGATCTGGCCTTTTTCTAAAGAAGCTAGTGCCGGCTCCTTTAACAATTATGAGGTCCTAACTGACGGCTGGGGAGGAAGGAAATACCCGCTAAGCAGATCTCCGTTAAGCCTGATAATGTGACAACAGTCGAAACACAATTTAATTTTTTTTCTCTATTTTGCCAAAACAACAAGTAGGTGGAAACTCGTATCACTTCGTCAATTGCTCAGCGAAGTCTCATGAGTTTACTATTTGCGGACTAGAATCTACCGATTTGAACACAACTACTCTTTTCAAAGACTTTCACACAGCCCCTGTGGAGGGTGTATGTACGCTCAGATAACTTTCCGAGGAAGTATAAAAACTGACCAGATCCAAATTCCTGTAGTTGATCCCTCTTCTTCCTCTCGCCTCGATTAACGCAATTGCAATTGAGCAATATGGGTTTGCATTCAGGATCAATCATTCCTACTGGTGGTACATGGAACGCCATACTCTCATTTATCAAAATCTACCCAAATTAACTCTATCAAAGCATTTTCAACGTTCTAAGTGGTCTGGCCGGACGGAATTGCATTAGTTTTGCATATAATCTTAACGAATTTTTCCTATTTCAATCGAAAATTTGTCCACATCGCTTATTTGTTGTGTCTAAACCTCGTAAATTGCAGTGAGTCTGAAAAGACTTAGACTTGATCAGGAAACTCAACTTTACACCATTTGAGGCATGATTGTTAGATGGAACTGCACAGCAGGTAGGCACAATTGATCCCTTTCACTGTATTTGGAAGGCAAAGAGCTTTGTGGATTGAATGAATGCTAAAGACTACTCTTTTTACTCTCTCTTAGCCATCTTTCTTGACCTCACATATTGTGAAGTTGTAGTATATAAGGGAAACGAAATAGCCAGTCTCTACCCCAAAATCTACTCACGAAACAATCCAATTACCGGAAGGAATAAGGATCACTCATTGTTCTATTACCAATTATATTTATATTGATGTACACCTTTGCGTCCGAATGTGTATATGTACGTGCGGACATACAAGATAAAGTGATAATCCGTAGTAATCAGAAGAGAGCAGAAGCAGCTGTTCCTAAGGTCATCAAGGCGTAATGATATTTTATGTTTTTGACCTAAAAAGACCCATCACTACGATTAGGCAATGCATGACGCCCATTTGGCTGAGATAATTACCCTTCACAGTCTAAGTGTAAAAGGGCGACGTAAATTATTACCAAAATCGAGGAAATATAAGTTGAGCTACCTTCTTTTAGAAGGAGGCACTGCCACTTCTTACCTCTGGGTCCAATAAAAAATCAAGTCAACTCAACTTATTCCTATAAAATATACATAACTATAATGTAATATATGAAGTGGAACTGATTTCAGAGGAGTCTCTGGTAGATCAGTTATGACTTGATGTTCATTCTTTCTCGCATTATATATATATATATATATATATGAGAGAGAGGATTATCTAAGTATATCAATGCTGACTTTTTATGTATTGGATCTAGAGTTCAGATGTGGCAGCGCATCTTGATAAAACAGGGCGGCTCAACTAATAAATCCTCAACTTTAGTTCTAATTAATGTCACATTTCATACACTGAGCTTATAAAGGATGGCTAACT